ACATCAGGCCACACCAGCCAGAACTGTTAGTGCTAAAATTTACCTCCCCTCTCCCTCACAAGAGCTCTACTATTCCAGGCTGGAGCTTCCTCATCTTCCTGCGCCTCTCTCACTTCTGTGCCTTGGTGTTTCCCAGTGCAATCTCGCACTTCTTCCTGCAGCATCTCATCCTGTAGTCAGTCTCTCCTGCCTTCCACTCAGTCCCTGTCCTCGACAAGCACACAAGCCAGTGCGGGAGGTAGACGTGTCACTAGGTTAGGTACAAGAAATGGCGGTCGGTGCAGTGAGGGAAACATGACAAAGCACCGTGAGCACACATTCTTGTGACATAACCCCACTTGAGGCCTTCCAAATCAACCCTCCACCTACCACATTCTAACAAATCAGTTACAGAGTCCTACATCTTTCCAAATATCCCTGATCTCGAATCCCCCTCACAATTTAGGCTTCATTTCTCTTGTACCACCTAGTTCAAGCACTTCTTGTCAGAACACAATTCAGTATATTTCCAAACTGTCACATCTCCCCAAAGGAAATATCCTCCCCTTACTTTGAAGCACTGAATATCTTTACAATGCCAAAGGGATGACGTCCAAATCCTTAGCAAACAAAATAATATATTTTCGAAATGATGCCTTTTGAAGTTTTTATCTATTTCAGGGCAGAGAGAGCAAGCGCACTCCGATCTACTAGCTCAACTCCAGATGGCCCCCATAGCTGGGACTGGGTCAGGATAAAACCAAGAGGTAGAAACTTTAACCCAAGTCTCCCATGTGGGTGGCAAGAACCCAATGACTTGATCCATCACCACTGCCTCCCAGGTTGTACTAGGAGGAAGCAAGAGTCAGGAGCCAGAGTCCAACAGGGGGATGGGAGATCTACAGCCTACTCCTGAAATAGTGCCTTTTAAAAGCAGATGGTCTGAGTTTCAGTTCCATTATTCATCAGCTCTGTTACCTTTGACAGATCACTCTATCTCTAAATTCTCTCATCCAAAAAATAAAGATACTAAAAGAACTGTCTAGTGTTGCTTTGAAGATTCAGAAACTCCATGCCAAGGACCAGGATAGATCCCAGCACCCACTCCACATTAACCATCATGCTAGACTGTCTCATCTAGAACGACTGGCTCCCTGAAGGAAGCAGATAACCCAGATTCTGCTTTCATGTTTTTTTACAATGATTAACAGTAAGAGTTAAATCAAAAACAACCCCCTGGTTAATCATAAAGCAACACAAGCTTCAATTAACCTCTATATCACTTTCACGAAAATTTTGATTTGTCTAAAATTTACCATAGTTTATTAGAAAAAGAAAGTACTCATTTATCAAAAAAAAAAAAAAAAGGTTACTTTGTTTGGTTTACCTATTCAAGTAAGTAAATCTTTTAAAAACAAAAGTCTATAGAAGTATGACAGAACTGATCAACTCTGCTGGGAGCAGTATAAATAAGTGCCTTTCAGAAGTGAATCTAGCCAATTTTTTCAAAATGGATAAAACTTTCTTCATACTCCAATCCTATAATCCCCTTTTCAGCCCTTAGCCTAAGGAAAGCAGCACAATGATGAACAGCTACCGACAAACTGCATTACTAGTAAAACAGTAAGCAACCCAGATGTCCAGTTGTTAAGAAATAGATAACTCACAGTAACTTCGTGCAATAATCTATAGGTAGAAAAACTATGGCAAAAAGAAAACATTAAATATGAAAGCAAATATTAAACATTACATTTATGCTCTTGGTTATAATAATAAATAAATTAAAAAAACTCAAGAATTTACCCTGATTTTTTTTTCTTTCTTTCACCATTAGGTTATTTATAAAATGAAAGGCCTGTTGGAATTAATCAGACCCACCACACTAAGTACACATTTCAAAACTGACTTTTCTAAGGCATGAAACCACATAACCATCAATTTTTTTCCCTAAAAACCTATCTATCACAAAGGAGTAATCAGATAGGCTCTTCTCACATACAGACCAGCCATGCATGTAATTTTAGCCATGCTATTAGCCAGCTGGAACCTTATTATATTAAAATCTCATTTTACCATCAAAGCCTAACTGTATGTGGGATCTCCATATGGCGATCAGCAGCCACTTGTTATGGGGATGTGGAGAGAGGCCTGCCAGCACGGCAGTTAAAACTGTCTGGCTGAGTAGAATGGTGAAGGTTTGGTTTCTCCTGTATCCCCAGATGAATGATCATGTTTCTTAGCCAATCAAGGGCTGTTAAGTCTTCGGAGTGGCAGCTGATGATTCAAGGAAGGAAAAAGTACAAGAACAGACCCCCTCTCACTCTGAAAAACTGGCAACCTCCTTGGCCCAAAACACCATAAAAGAGTAAAAAATATACCAGCAAGAGGTCAGGAGATATGAGACATACTGCGTAGAGTCAAAATGTTTTATAATTGAATGAAATAATCAATTCTTTCAAGTCTAGTAGATTCCTTTTCCAACACACACTCAAGTTTCTCATTACCCCACTCAGATTATAAAACAATTAAGATTCACAATTAGGAAACTGGGGCAAAACTGAAATACAAAGATAATCAGAAGATGTGGACTGTACTTAGCTCTGTACTTTTCTATCTACCAGATCTCCAGCAAATTACTGCCCCTCAGGGTAGCACGGTGGTGTAGTAACTTAGGCCTCCACGTGCGAAGCCAGCCGGCTTCCCATATGGGTGCCAGTTCACATCCCGGCTGCTCCACTTCTGATCCAGCTCCCTGTTAATGGCCTGGGAAAGCAATGGGGGATGGCCCAAGTGCTTGGGCCCCTGTAATCACATGGAAGACCCTGAGGAAGTTCCTGGCTCCTGGCTTCAGATCAGCCCAGCTCTGGCCATTGTGGTCATTTAGGGAGTGAAACCAGCGGATGGAAGACCTCTCTGCCTCTCCTTTATTCTGTAACTCTGCCTCTCAAATAAATAAATAAATATTAAATTAAAAAAAAAAAAAAAAAGGCTGTTACATGCCAGGCCCATTAACAAAAAAAAAGTTACTGTCCCTCAAAGCCCTGGGACCAATGCAGCAGCATCATTACTGGCCAAGCCCCGTTTTACCCCTGCATCATAAAATGGGTTGTTTCTTCCTGTCCTCAGATTTCATTCCTAACCAGCAACAATCTTTACTTCTAGTGCCCTGTGCAATCATCTTTTGTAGGTTTTCCCATATTGAAAGTCAGTCTAACACATTTCACCTATCTTACAGCTGCATTCACAAAAACGCATTCAGTCCACTTCCTGAGCACTTGTGCCACACAACAGTATGCGCTGGAGCTGCAAAGGTGCCTTTCCTAAGAAGCCCAAGAACCTGCTGGAGACAGAGACATAGAAAAAACACTACCAACCAACAGACAGTGTATTATTGGATCGGTCGATAAAGAAGGATGAGATGTCTGGACAAGACGCAGGTGATATTTTGGTAAGGTGTTGAAGGGCAAGTTGTTTGCAAGGCAAAGAAGAATTCTCAACAGAGGGAGCAGTGCAAAACCACAAAGGAAGATGTCATCTTCTACAAACCGCAAGGAGTCCTGCACGGTGAGTGAGGGCAGGCAAACCAGAAGGTGGACCAAGCACCAGAAACTGAGAATAAAGACAACGGGAAACCACTGAAGGATTTCCAGTCATGAAATCACACTCCTGTTCTTCCTCCATACGTCAAAGGAGCTGGGTCAAGGCAACAAACGCAGGTCTGGCATAATGTTTAAAAACATTTAATGGAGATTTCCTGCCCTGAGGATGGCTTCTAGCACTTTCTTGGTACGGCATGTTAATACAAGACTGAAGGAAAACAGTATGAATTATGGCTAAAGGGTTCAATCAAGTGTGTATTTTTAGCCTAAAGATTATTTTAAGTTAGTGTTGTTGAGAACAGAAAATAGTAAAGTGATTTAATAAATGAAGGTAAGCAAGCAGTAATAAAACTGAGACTGACTTCAAGCAAAACATTCAGGAATGTTGACATCCTTATCCTGATCAGATAAGATGTTTTGCACCTATTATTTGCAAAAGAAAGATCTTAAATCCCTTTGCTTAAGGAGCTTCTATCTCCACTCTACTAACTAGTCTACTAGATGATATTTTTATTTTTTTTTAAATGACCAAATAGGTTCTATCAATAATTAGTTCAAGGCCAGGAGAAGAGGGATGCCTTTTCGAACGCCTGGATTTAAAAGCCTGAGGCTCCGTGTCTCTCACCTATAGGAGTGAAACACCAGCATTTCAATCTGGGGCCACGAAGAAGAGTCCGTGCATCAGTAATTTCCACACTGCGAAGGCCTAGTCTGGGGACAGCAAGCCTAATTGGCTGGGCAGCCTACAAAGATGAATTTGCAATTATTGAGACTGGAACTCAAGCCGACCACCTCAAAGAAGTCATTCCTGCTTTCACTTTGTCAAAAAAAAAAGTGGGTGCATTAAAAAAATGTATAAAAATAACATGTTTTAGGAGGAGAGAGAGAGAAACATCTGAACCTACAAGGGACGGTGGGATTTCCGCGCCTCTCCCCACCCCACCACGGCCCAAGTTTTATCTCCGATTAGATTTTAGGGTGCTTAGGGTGTGTCTTTGTTTTGGCCCATTTATTAACTGTTGTTAATAAATATCCGCTCATTCGGGGAACGCCGGTACTTTCCCCATTAACCCTCCCAAGCATCCTGGCTCTTGAAATCACCGGTCTCCGAGCCTTTCGCCGCGATTTCCCCGTAGAGCAAGGCGGCAGCCCCAGCTGCCCGAGGCCCGGGGCGCTGCCACAGCCCCGCGGGCCGGGGGGCGTCGGCCTCCCGGGTCCACGCCCGCCGGCCTCGAACGCTTCGCAGGGGGCTCGGCAGGGTCGCGCGGCAGAGCTGGAGGCCGCAGGGCGCCACCGCTTGCCCCCGGACGCCCGGGCCTCTACCGCCACCGCAGATCGGACCGCGCCCCCACAGTCCCCAGGCAGCCTCCGGCGCCCGCCCTGACCCCGGCCCCTACTCCAGCACTGACCCCGGCCACTCACCGTGCGGGGATCGTGCTGCCTCCTCAGCTGCGGGTCGCCCAGCGACCTGTGGGCCCGAGGACGGAAGGTGAGACGAGAGGCCGCCCGTCACATCGCCGCCGATCCCGCCGGCCGAGCCGCAGCACCCAGCATCGCGTCCGCGGCCTGAGGGAGCGCCGGACCCCAGAGCCACCGCGCCCCCTCCCTCGGCCTGCGCCCGCCTGGACTCCGCCCTCCAGGGCCCGCGCACCGCGCGCGCGCAGCCCCGCCCCCTCGAGAGACGCTGCGCACGCGCCAGCCCCAGGGCTCTAGGCCCCGCCTTCGGGCCCGCCCCTGCAGCCCAGCTCTGGCCTCGGCCCACCTGTGGCCCCGCCCCGCCCGCTCGCCAGCCTCTCCCAGGCTCCGCCCCCCACCTCAGGCCCCGCCCCGCTCCGCTGACCTTGCCTTTCTGCCCCCTGACTCAGGTCTTTGCTCGGCCCAACCCCCGCCGCCTACCCTGGCTGGTGCTGACCACACCTGTGGGAAGCTGCTCGGACGAACATTTGATGCTCGACCGCGGTGAAACCTGTCAGCTCGTGCGTCCTCCAGGCTCCGGAAAGTCAGGAGCGGTCTGAGCCCTGGGACTGACCGAGGCCGCTCAAGTGCCCCTGCCCGAACCACGCACGCAGCCTGCCGCCCCAACACCCTGGTTCCGGCTGAGGCTGAGGGAAAAGGGGCCTCAGCCCTGAGTGCTGACATTCAGAACCACGCAGTACCTCCGCGCGCCTGGGTTCCTTGTGCCAGGAACCGGCTCCCCTTTGGGGTTTCCATTCCCCCAAAGGCCACCCCTTCTCCTCCTCCCTTCCTCAGTGGCCGGACTTGATTTTGAGAGCTCTCTTGCTTGGAAACCTTATGCATCAGGGTGGCAGTTAGAGCCCTGGAAGCGCCTTCGTTTGTCGGCCCCAGCAGCTTGCTGCAATGAATAACATTTAAGGGGAATGTGTTGGAAAAATACCCACTTCTAACATGTCTCCACATGGGTTGTACATGTGGAGGTTGTACGTGGCCGGGGGATTTATAAACCCACATTTCATATAATAATATACTCATATATTTAGAAAAAAGCCTGACATTTTCTAGATCGACCTCTGTATGTAAAGACTGAATTTTTGGATAATAATATGTGTGCTTAATATGAGAAAAAAAAAGTAGGTCTAAAAGGCTCCACACTTTCAGGATTAAGTGAGATCGCTGCAAAAGCAAACGCCAGACAGAACTTGAGCGCATCCTTTAGATCAGCACTGGAGAGAGGCATTACTAAAATGCGTTTTGGGGTTTATGCCGTCTGCTGGATGGAGAGATGGTAAAGAAACGACTCCCCACAGCCTGTCCGCGGAGCTAAGGAAGGTGCTGCGTTCCCAGTAGCCTCCAGAGGAAGTGGGAAAGAAACATCAGCAGGAAGAGCTTTGCATCTCTGAACTGCTGGGTTGTCTCCGATGACTCCCTAAGTACTTGGCCTGTCATGTGAGCTCTCTGCAGTAGGCAAGTTCGAAGTCACCTTCTCTTCCTGCTCTACAAAGGTAGGCGGCTTCCTGGGTGCTTGTAGGAGTAGCCCCAGCTTCATCTAATTTTCTCTATGTCTATTTTGCCTTGGTCCCAATTTCCTCATTCCCTTGGTTGTCATTATGTCACATTGATTCTACTTCTGTTAGCCACTACTTTCTCTTTTCTTTTTTTTTTTTAAGGTTTATTTTATTTATTGGAAAGACAGAGTTACAGAGAGACAGAGAGAGAGAGATCTTCCATCCACTGGCAATGGCTGGAGCTGTGCTGATCAAAAGCCAGGAGCTTGTTCTGGGTTTCCCATATGGATGCAGGGGCCCAAGAACGTGGACCATCTTCGACTGCTTTCCCAGGCCACAGCAGAGAGCTGGAACAGAAGTAGAGCAGCCAGAACTGGAACCAGCATCCTTATGGGATGCCGGCACTACAGGTCAAGGCTTTAACCCGCTGCACCACAGGGCCAACCCCTAGCCACTAATTTCAAAATATACTCACAGGGGGCCATTGCTGTGACACACATGGGTAAAGCCGCAGCCTGCAGTACCAGCATCCCATATCAGCGCTGGTTCAAGACCCGGCTGCTCCTTTTCTGATCTAGCTCTCTACTAATGGCCTGGGAAAGCAATGAAGATGGCCCAAGTGCGTGGGTCCCAGCACCCATGTGGGAGACCTAAACGAAGCTCCTGGCTCCTGGCCTCAGATCAGCTCAGCTCTGGCCATTGCACCCATCTGGGGAGTAAACCAGTAGGTGGAAAGACCTCTTTCTCCATCTCTACCTCTCTGTAACTCTGCCTTTCAAATAAGTAAATAAATCTTTTTTTTTTTTTTGAAAGGCAGAGTTAGTGAGAGACAGAGAGAAAGTATAAATCTTTTTTTTTAAATGTACTCACAAGATTCTAATTTATAGAGATGATTGTGATGACACAGAGAGGTTAAGGCATTGAAAGAAGATCTTTGTTACATTTCCGGGGAGCTGGGAGCACGCAATGCCACATGGAAAACACGAGCTTGGTCAGGAGGCAGAAGTAGGAGAGAGGGGAAGTGAGAGCCAGAACTGCTGCTGGAGTTTCTGTGGAAGGGCAGAACAGGAAAGTGGAAACAGCTTTGGGGTGACTAGTTTGAATGATGTCAGACCCCTCTAGAGTCTAAGAGTAGTCTCTAGCCTTCTGGTACCTGGCCTGGGGTGATTTGGAGCAGAAGAAATACTGGTTTGATATGTGAGAGTTAAATAAAAGGAGTGCTTGGGGTTATAAAGTTGGGGTTGGTCTGGAGGGTTTGTAATATGATTTTCACACACCCACAAAAGTGGATGGCCAGTGAAGTATAAGCTAATTTGGCCATTAGTTTGACCCTATGATTAATGGATGCCAAATAGACAAATGCAGAATCTAAGAAAACAGATGACCACTTACATATAGAGGGGTGGGTGTTTAGCCTAGCGGTTAAGATGCTTGTGTCCCATAGCAGAGTTCCTGGGTTCTATACCCAGCTCCAACTCTTGACTCCAGCTTTCTGCTAATGCAGACCCTGGGAGGTGGCAGTGATGGCTCAAGTCACTGGATTTCCCATCACCCACTTGAAAGAATTGAATTGCTTTCCTGGCTCCTGGCCTAGACTCCCACCAGGACCTGTTTCAGTCATTTGGGGAATGAACCCGCACATGGGAATTCTTGAGTTCTGTCTCCTTCTCAAATACATTTTATTTATTTAGAAAACGATTACATACAGAAAAAAATGTTTTAATTACAAATATGTGTCTCCCCAGAAATCTAACCCATGAGGGTATGAAGCCTGCTTTGGTCAAGGTTAAGGGAGAAAGGCAGCCCAAGCTGGGTGGGTGGTGCCTTACAAATTTTCACATGCTTCAGAATCCCATTGAAAGGCTTGGTGCAACAGACTTCTGGGCCCACCTCCAGACTTTCCAGTACAGTTGGCCTGGGGTGAGGCTCAGGAATTTGCATTTTGATAGTTCCCATGAGATGCCAGTGCCCAGCTGAGAACCACCGTACTGGAATGCCTCTTCAACAACCGTCCAAACCTGTTGGGAAGGCCCTTCTAGAAATGACCATCTTCCAAAAACTCTTATAAAGATTGGTAAGAGACAAAGGTCTAAATGCCACAGGCTGCCCTATGGACAAATATCACAACTGGCTAGGCAGGGGAGATGACAGCTGAGAAGAACAGGGTGTGACCCTGGCCCTTGAGCTGGGGGAGGAGGACAGAAGATGAAGAGGCAGAGGCAGATGGGCTAGGATGCCATGAGAGGAATGCACAAGACGCACAAGCTTTGACTAGTCTTTCTGGTGGTTTTCTAGATGAGCTCGGGGTTAGAGCACAAAGGCAGGGGGTTGGATGATTTTACAGGATTGCAGCCTAGAATTTCTTGCTAAGAAACACACAGCAGGGTCCAGCCTTATGGTGCAGCAGTTAAGCCACCATGACACTGGCATCCCATATGAGCATCAGCTGGAGTCCCAGCTGCACCACTTCCAATCCAACTTCCTGCTAATGCATGTGGGAAAGTGATGGAACAGGCTTCAACCACTTGGGCCCCTGCCACCTAGGTAGAAGACCCAGATGAAACTGTTGGTTCCTGGCTTTGACCTAGCCCAGTCCTGGCTATTGTGGCCATTTGCAGAATGAGCCAAAAGATGGAAGATCTCAGTCTCTCTCCCCCTCTCTCAGTAACTCTGCCTTTCAAATAAATAAATATTTTAAAAAGGAAAGGAGGAGGGAAGGAAGGGAGGGAGGAAGGAAGGATGGGAGGGAGTACGGACACGGTGTAATCACTCGGAATGTGTGTGCATGGGGCTGGGAGGGGAGGGGGGAGATAGAAAGGAGTCTGATTTGCAGACAGCTATGCAGATACACATGAGGTTCAGCCCAGAGAAGAGTCAGGGAGCACATTTACATAAAATATATTTACATAAATATATTTTAGCTTAAAGTAAGTAGATAAGGCAGGCATTTGGTGCATTACTTAATACGCTGCTTGGGAAGCCCAAATCCCCTATTGGAACACCTGGGTTTGAGTCCTGGCTCCACTAATGTGAACCCTGAGAGGCAGCAGTGGTAGCTTAAGTACTTGAGTCCCTGCTACCCACAGGGGAGACCTGGATTGAGTTCCCAGCTCCTGGCTTTGTCTGCTACAGGCATTTGGGGAGTGAACCAAAGGATGGAAAATTTCTGTCTCTTTCTCCCTCTCTCTTTCTCTCCCCATCTCTGTGTCTCTCTGACTTTCAATGAAATAAAAATTGTGTTGCCTATACAATGAAAATAAATTTTAAGTATATGTATGTTACAGACTGAATATGTCTCCCCAAAATGTATATGTTGAAGTCCTAATCTCCAGTGTGATGGTATTTGGAGGTGAGGCCTTCGGGAAATTAGGTTAGATGAGGTCTTGGGGGTGGAGCCCTCCTGGTGGGATTAGTGTCTATGAAAAAAAGGAGGCACTGATCTTGTTCTTTGCTCTCTGCTCTCCAAAAGGTGAGCATACACAGCCACCTTCACACCAGGATGCAGAACACTGGTTCTGCCTGATCTTAGCATCTCAGCCTCCAAACTTACACTTGTAGTCTCCAAAACTGAGACAAATATATGTGTGGTTTCGGCCAGTCTATAGGAAGTTGTTGTCACAGCCCCAGATAAGACACCATAGGATAAAACTAGTAAGAAAATACCTAGGAAAAGACGTTTCACACAATTCTAAT